TGGGACTATGATAATGAGTAACGCTCTCCGGGGATTGCCGGGGGGCTGAGGCCGGGTCGGGTGGAGAGGGGCAGGAGGTGGGTGGGAAGTCTCTGTACCTTCCTCTCAATTTTGCTGTGAACCTAAAACTGCTCTAAAAAAATACATCTTTCAAGGAGATGCCAGGGCCCATCTGGCCAGAGAACACCAATCACCTCCACGTGGATGGGAAGCCAAGGGTTTTGGAAGAGTGTAGGCATGCCTGATACAGAAAGAAAATGTTTTAAAAATTGGGATGGAAGAAGATGCTGCCAACCTTTTACTCAGCTTACGAGTCGGCCGCTAAAACGCTAACCGTTCTCTGGGCGAGACCCACCTGAGGCGTGAAGTGGGGTCCTTTTGGTGACATCGTCTTTCACAAAGATGGACGCGCCCTGGTTGATCAGCGCTTCCACGCATTCCGTGTGGCCCTTGAAGGCAGCCAGGTCCAGAGCGGTGCGGCCCTTCTCGTCCCGGATGTCCAGGTCCACCAGGGACTGCAGGAGCACTTCCAGGGCCTGGTGGTGCCCGTTGTAGGCCTGCAAAGGGGAAGCCAGTGACACCAGTGCTCGCTCGCCTCGAACCCCACCGCTCCCCCAGTGAGGGGTGCGGCCTCCAAGGTCACAGACAGAGGCCACCCCAAGGAGCACGTCAGACAGACACTCGGGATAAAGCAAAACACAGGAAACCAGCCCTGACCGGTTTGGCTCAGTGGATAGAGCGTCGGCCTGCGGACTGAAGGGTCCCAGGTTTGATTCTGGTCAACAGCATGTACCTTGGTTGCGGGCATATCCCCAGTAGGGGGTGTGCAGGAGGCAGCTGATGGATGTTTCTCTCTCATCGATGTTTCTAACTCTCTATCCCTCTCCCTTCCTCTCTGTAAAAATCAATAAAATATATTTTTTAAAAACCAAACAAACAAAAAACAGGAAACCAAGAATTGGATTGAAAATCAAATGCATGAACTCACAGCTATGTATGATTCCTTCGTGCCCTTTCTCTTTTGTCAAATAATCTGCCCCAGAGGCACCGAATGTATGAATGGATTCATGTATTTGTATCTATCGATCTACTCTCCCAATGCAAACCGGCAGCTGAATGAATTAATATATTCTTATATCTGCCAGTACAGGCTAACCATACTGACATGATCCGATTTTTTTTTTCCGGGAGATTATTCTGTTAAACCTGGAGCAAAAGGTTACCAAAAACATGTGGTCTTCATAATTCAACAGAGGCGTACAGACCTTGTTGCGGTTGAATATTTTCATTTCTAGCCACGTGACCCTGGGTGAGTTTCTTAATTTCACTTAGTTTGTTTCCTTGTCTATAAAAGGACAGCAATAAAAGGTGCCTCACAGGGAGGATTAAAAAAAAAGAGAGATAAAATCGCACAGGCTTCGCATCATACCGTGTACACAGTTGATGCTTCCTCCTCTCCCCTTTACTCCCTCCACTGATTATAATGAAAACAGAGACAAAAGTGTGGAAAAACGTTCTGTGTAGCAGCGCCAAGTTCTGACTTATTATGAGGCCCTACGCTATGCTAAGAGGAAGAGCCTTCATACTAAAAAAACAAAAGTCTGAAAGCTGATTTTTATTAAGTCTATGAGGTAAAAAGCATCTATGTACACACAAGAGAAAGGACATTGAAATAAAGAAAAGAAAAGGTGTAGGAATCCAGAGAGCAGGGACAGGGAGGAGCAGGGGGGTGAGAGAGACGGAGGGAAGGCCAGTCCTCGGGGTCCTCAGCCCAAGTCCCCTCTTTTGTCTCCGGCACCTTCCATGTTTCTGCCGTGGTGATTACTCAGGCACCATTTATATGAAAAAGGGCTCAGCACAGAAAAAGGTTAGTTTCCTTAATATAACAAGAGCCCTTACGAACCATTTTTAAAAACCAGAAAATGTGCAAAGGGCATAAAGAGGCAGCTCACATAAAAAGAAAAGGTCAGTGAACATATGAAAAAAAATATGTATATTTTATGGTACTATTTTTTAACTACCAGATTGGCAATGATTAAGTTTAGTCATGTCCTGTATTAGTTAAGAGCGGTGGAAAAAGCAATCTTATGCTCTGTTGGTGGGAATATAGATTGGTGTGACATTTGTGGAGAGCAATTTGACAAAACCGATCAAATGAAAAAAAATACTAAGTTGCAAACACTGCATAGAGCACGACCTCATTTATACAAAAAAGCAAATATATCCAGATATATACATGTCTTTATATGTATACTTCTATATTCATAGCAAATTTTAGAAGATTAGGAGAGAAACTGTGAACTTCTAGAAACGAAAAGTAAAGTAATGAACATATGGACATTTTTCACCTTATCTTTTTAAAAATTATTTAAATTGTTCCCTCTGAGTATTTTTTTGAATAATATTTTTTATTGATTTCA